TTAATTAAAATGATATATTTTTGTTTGGGCCGAGCAGTCTTTTATGTGAGCCGAGGTGTCTTTAAATTTGGGCCGAGCCGTGGGAGCCGAGGTGTCAATGGGCCGAGGTGTCGTTGGGCCGAGCAGTCTGACATTCATCGGTTGAACAACCCCCCACTTTTAAAAACCATACTCCACCCATTGAATTAAATAACTACATGTAAAACATACGTTATAATAACACTTTTCCCCATCCCCATTCAACCCTCCACCTTTGAAAAATCCTTCAACCCTCCTTTTGAAAAATTTCTTGACCTGCGCCTATAAAGTAATTAATGTCTATGGGGGATGAACTAACAAGGGGTCGAACCCCCCAGCTACCGCTTCATTTATCCGGTTTCTTGGACGGTTGAAATTTGTAATTTACCTATTCTTCTTCCCGCGAATTCAAATTTTTTGGTGTAAGTCTAGGAGTCTAGTGTAATAATAGCTATGGCAAAACGCAACACAACTCGCTCGGTAAAGATTTCAGAGTTGAATGAAGAGCTTAACAGGTGATTATAGCCGCAATCCACAGGTGCCTGTGCCAGACCCGTTTGCACACTCGCTACACTACCAAAAAAAAAAAACAAACAAAAAAAAAACATTTTTCTCAGGATGTGCAGAAAATCTCATTTTGCAGTGATCATTTTCAACTTTGATCTCATCTGAAAACAATTCATTTGAAAATTACTCTTGACAGGGACCTATATACTACTGAAGAATTGTATTTTTCTGTGTAATTGCAATCAAAGTTCTGAAAGTCTTGGGGCTATGTATGACAATATAGGCCTACTCCTTGACATCTTCGCAAGTAGCTGCAGATCTGTAGCATTATGGTTTTATATGATTTGTCTTTGACCATAACGCTACAGATCCCGTAATGCAAAAAAGGTGCAATTTACGGCGCAATATTTTTTGCGCTCTTTTGTGGAGAATTTCTCATCTTTCCAGCATCGGTCAATTAACTACCTTTCACTTCCTATTTCTAGGCACATTATTTAAGTAATCTATATTTTATCCATATCCCAATCACTTTATAGTCGTCTCTACAAGTGATAAACTTGCTGGATTAAAATTATTTGTTAGATTGCTTAAAATTCACTTCAAGCGAGTTTACTGCCTGTGGAGACGACTATAAATGGTTGGGAGGTGGATAAAATATACATATTGGCTACATAGTTTGTCTAGACTTAGGGAGTAAAAGGTAGTTGATTGACCATGCTAAAAAGTGGAGAAATTCTCTTCAAAAGAGCGCAAAAAATATTGCGCTGTAAATTGCACCTTTTTATACGCCCGTCTTAAGACGGGACGTATTATGTTATAGGCTTCGTGTCCGTCCGTCTGTCCGTCCGTCTGTCCGTCTGTTAGCTTTTCTCGTGTCCGGCTCATAACTTTAATACTATAAGGCCTAGAGTTATCAAACTTTGTCAGCTGATACATCTTGGGTAGAAGGTGTGTCGCGCACAAAAAGTAGGTCGCTCTGACCTATAATTAAAAAGTTATAGACAAATATGGAAAAATCCTGTCCGGTCCATAACTAGAAAACTATTAGACCTAGAATCATCAAATTTGGCCAGTTTATGCATCTTAGGTAGAAGGTGTTTCGCGACCTATTTTAAGGTCACTGTGACCTTTAATTTGAAAGGAATTTTTAAAAAAAATGTCTTTTTTTTTCTATTCATTTACACATTCAATAAATGTAAAACTATTGCACTAACCTTATTAGAAAAATGTTAAATCAAGAAAATACTTATTTTTTTAGCATAAACTTGACAGCAATCTAAACAAATATAATGAAGGTTAGAGAAATTCCACCTCTCCCATGAGTCTAATTATCTAGCACTGGTCAAGAAGAATTTTGATAACAGAAAATTGCATGTCAAATTAGAGAGGAAAATTAATGAGTTTAGTGTGAGGTGTAGCTGTCAGGGCATCGGTGCTATCTATATCCCTTGAGTATTGAGCCAAATGGGTAAGCCTGTTGGATTAAAAATAGATCTTGTTGGCTAGCCAAAGGTTTAAAATGAATTTGATGAGAAGTAATTAAAACTAATTTGATATTGCATATGAAACTATTTTGATATTACATAATATTATAAACTTAAAAATTAATTTTATGGGGGTAGGGGTGGAATCTGCATGTCCATATGAATTGCATATTAACAATTAACTGTCTGACATTAAATCTAAAAAAAAAATCATTGTTGTTTTATATGTTTTAAAAATGTTTATGGTAATTGTGCAGATCCAATAATCTTTTGGGAGTAATGAGTAGACAAGCATCCAGTTAAAGATTAATTAATGTGTTCAATGTAGGAAGGCTAGCTGCATGTCTCTTTCATTTCTTAAGAGCATGATTTTATCTGCATCCTTCGGGAATTAGACAGAAGAACTATTGGTCAGTTTATATTTGATGGCCAGCCTTTTATTTCCAAAATTAATTAAGTATAGATTAAATTGTGAAGACTAATTTGATATTGTTTAATATGATAGGCATTTGGCAAGGTATAGAAATCTATGAATGATGCAATATTTGTTATAATTAATTAATGCCTACACCACAGGGGATGGATAAATAATTTTTTTAAGGTGTGTAAAAATCATTGAAATCTTAAAATCAAGGTTGAAATGATTTTCCTGCACTTTTAACTGTTTAAGATACATTGTAATTGTAATTTTTTGACGGGCGTATCATGCTGTGGCGTGGCACTTTATTTGCATTACGGGATCTGTAGCGTTATGGTCAAAGAAAAATATATAAAACCATAACCATGATAACGCTACAGATCTGCAGCTACTTCGCAAGCCAAGGGTTTTCAGTATGTAACACTCGTTTGTGGAGAGTTACGGACCGAAAACCCTTGGCTTGCGTAGATGACTCTTTGAATCATGAATGAAATGACAAAGAAGTCCAGTTCTGGTTAACATGAAAATAGGTCGCCCTTCGGTAAATATTCAGCACAATGTTAAGTAATCATAATCAGTCATGTGCCTCTGACCACACCCAATAGAGAGGACAATTTTAATCAAACAGTGAATGGAATTACATGTTATGCTCCAAACTATCTCTGCTTTGGATTGGTTTTGAAACCCCCCAAGTATAAACATTAATAGTCATTAAATTGTGATTTTTGGTCTCTTTTTTAATGAAAAGAAGAATGTGAAAAGTTTAGTATAGTAATACTTGTATTATTAGTTACATATAAGTCTTTTAGTGACAGTGTATGGGATGATACCTAGTTAGTAAATTCCATACCTTGCGAGGCAGAGCCGAGTCTGGTATGAAATTTACTAACCAGGTATCATCCTGTATCCTAGTAATTGTCACTAAAAGACTATATGTAACGAATTTACCCCACCGATGAAACATTTACGTATTATCTGTGGTTTATATTTATTTAATGTGTTTTTCTGCTATACATGCTTCAACATGCTTATACTGTGCCTATTATGACGTCATGTTGTGTTTGTTATGTAATACATTGACTGCATGGGTATACATTTACAATTGACCGGGTGTAAGTAATCCACCTCCATCAGACTTCAACCAATCGTAAGCTAGGATTTCATGGAAAAATCAACAGAGATGGGGTAAAGTATGTTGACAGTGTCACCGTTAGGGCAAGCGCAGATACTTATTCAGCATTTTTAGAATATTTACATTTGTTGTTTTTTTTTCTAGTATGCCAACATGGTCAACAGTGAATTTGATTTGAATACCATTTTCGTGTATACTCATGCATAGAAATACACAGAGAAACATGCGCTAACATGACGTCACAATGAGGCGACAGAGATGTTTGAAAATTGCAATGAATTAACATGATTAAGGCAGCGAGAACTACAGTCCCTGAAACGTTCTACTTTCCCATTTTTCTGTTCGTTCAGCGTTTGTTCAGCATGCATTCACGATTCGCTCTTCGTTCACAGTATTGCGTTCACCGTGTGCTCGCGTTCACTGTTCACAAAACGTTTGCTCTTTGTTCCATATACTTTGCGTTCACCGTTCACTTCTCATTCAGTCTTCATTGTCATTCGGAACTTCGAAGTGAAAGGACTTATCTTTTTTTTTTCATAAGTATATAATGTACATGTTTTCATTATTTTTGTAAATTTGACTTCTTTTCATCATATTTCCATTCCCAAGTCCAATTTTTCAAACCCATTTACTACAGCAGTTTGATAAAGTACACTATCCAGCCATAGACCCTTGTGTAGAGAAACATCTTTACAAGTAATTGAATCCAATATACTTAAGAAAATATGATGTGAGATTTGCATTACTTAAACTGATAACATTTGTAGAGGTGAGATTCGTAATCTTTGATTACCTATGTTTTATAGACTTATTAAAGAATCCAATATATGGAATATTGCTTTCTAAAATATTGTATCATGTCGAATTTTTTTGCTCAATACACAGCCCTACAAATTACACGGAGTACCCCCTCCCCAGAATCGCACTCATTTACACTTTGAAATTGAGGGGAATGTGCTGAGGCCACTAACAAAATGTCCATTACTATTTTCTTCTTCGATCATAATATATTTACACAACCATACATTATGATGTGTATGGCATGTTTGTCTTTATTTTATAATATTTAATAATATAATATGTTGACGGTGTGACTGTTACGGCAAGAGCAGATACTTAATCATTTTTAATTTAGATCAGGCTAATCAAATTCCATGTGAAATTTTGAACATCTAGACTCGGATGTCACATGAAGTCACATGATATTATAAGTCGCATTAATTGCAAAACCAGAGAGTGAGCAGTGCTTACTCTGATGAAAAATATTCTTACTACTCCACGAATAACTGAAATCTAAATTTCTGTACCTGTTTAATCTTCATCTTTATGATGTTTCTCATGTTAATGCCTAGTAATAATGGTAATAAGAATGAGATGATTGAATTTTTTCTAGCTGGAAGATACATGCCACAGTATCGTTTGAGGAAAAAGAAGTCAAGACCATCAAATCTGGAGAACATTGAGAAGGAGGCCTCAGGGTATTTAGTGTCATACTACAGGATAAATCAGGGTCCATTAAAGGAATTGCTTTTAACAAATTTGCAGAAAGGTTGTCTACTAAAATAAGGAACAAGAAGGTAAGTTTTAGCTCACATGCGTCCATTAGGCGTAACAAAAAAATATGTTTGTTTACGGTTACCCGACCGACCCTAATTTTAAGGAGGCTCATTACACCACTTTTTGATGACGTACTACACAAAAAAATATACCTCCATTGTGTCGGCCGGTTTGCTCAGGGAACGAGTAGTGTAGGAACCTCTATAATATGACCCTGACCTTTAAAACGCTTTAAAAATAGATGTAACATGCGGTGTTGTAAACAGTGAAAACAAAGTAACGGATTCATTATGCATAAACCAAGAATTGCTTTTAGGCAGAAACAAAAGAAAGCAACAGTCAAATCTTCGGCAAACAAGTAATGTCAATTTCATAGCCATGCATGCAGTGAACTCTATCAATCACTGACATTTATGTATGGAAGAAATTCGAGTTAAAATCTACAACCTTGTTGAAATTAAAATTTTATTTAATTGCGCTATTTACTGTGTTGGTGTTAATTTATATATTTGTTTTTTTTTATTTAAATGTATACTCTGGCAATTTAAAGCTTTAATATGAATTTCAGATGTAATGTCAAACGTTCCATAGTGTTTTGAGTCTTGGCTAATTAGGAAAGATAACTCTTGAAAGTGGACTTTTTATACCAAATATTTTTTAAATTGGATTTTTCATTTCGTTTAAACATTCTTCATTCAATTTGACACATGTAATTCATTGAAATACATTCCTTGTCTCTTCAGAACACACTTTTTAAACGTTTTATGCATAGATTAAAAAGATAATGACATTAATTGTTTTTTAGGAGAAAATTATTTTTTCTAATAAAATTATTATCAGGTATTATGAGGTATTTTCACTTTGTGTACTTGTCTTAAGAAGATGCCCATCATTTGACACTGAAAGTTCTGAAATTCAGTGAATAATAAACCTGAAATAAAACATTTCACTTAAATAAAACAAAAACTAAAAAATTCTATAAAAAATATTTATGATATCAATACCCCCATCTGGATATTTGACATCTACATTATAAATGGTGCCGTATTGAAATCTAAAATAAACTGTGGATGTAATGAGCCACCTTAATCGCCGAACCAAACTTTTTTTCGTCATAAAAATCCGGAAGTTACTGGCCGGTCAGTTTAACTTTTACATTCAACTTTGAAATCGAAATTGAAAGTACAGAAACAAAACAAGTGAGTTCAATTTCTACATCAACGAGTTCGTTGCAATTTGCTTACCATTGCGTGGCAGTTGCAGGGGTGTGCAACTAGCATTGCCCAACACCCGGAGCTACCGTTTTTTGGGGGGTAGTAAAAATAAAATTAAAATTATGCATGTAAATACATGAGAAACACAAACGATATTTTCACTCATTGTTTTGCTTTTTAATTTCTAACTAATGAAAATTTTCCAGGCAGTATGCTCCTACTGCTCTTAAATCACTTTAATCTCATCCATTTTGCAGTACTACCTGACTTATTTAATTTATTTACTTAAAAAACGATCGATTTTTCCTAATCCAAATTTCCTCCATTCCTCTGTTAATGGTAAATACATGCAGATATCTCTTTCAATTATATACGATCCCCAAATCGACTGATAGTTAAGTGTTATGTGATTAAACTTTAATATATATCAATTATACTTAATGGTTTGAAATGAAAATAAAATGATTTTTGCTTCATTTTAGATAAGCTAGACTAGTGCAATATGTTCAGAAAAGAAAAGATAATTTCTTAAAAGTTTTAAACTTCAACTTTAAAAGGAATGGCTTAGGACCCTACCTTTCTCAACTGTGAACTTTTTAAAATATTAGTTTTTACAGTTTTGGACTGGTCACTTTTAACTTCGGACTAATAATTTTATTGTTGTTACAAGCGTGTGGGTTAGTACTTGATTTTTTTTTTAATTGCCCACCCCTGAGTTGTAAGGCAGTTGGTAAGAAAGATTATATTGTCTACCACCCATATTACAAGCCCAAACAAAATTAAGGCACGGTACAATGGTAAAACTGTTCTGTAATTCAACCAATTCATGTGAATTTGTGTATTAAAAAAATTCAATAAAATAAAAAAAAATTCCTACCTACCGACCCTATTTTATTTCAGAATTTAACAGTAAACAAAGTTATTTTTTTGTTTGGCCTTAGGCACAATAGCACTTTTCTGCATGTTCTAGCTGATTGAATTTTATCAGTTGTGTTCCTAGATTACCCATGGTAGTAAGATCAATTGTCTGTTAAAATCATTTATTAATTTGACTGCATATATATGTTCTATTTTTCTTTGTTCACATATTTAGTAAAAAAATCTTTTACATGAAACAAATTGGAAATGAAACAACTTTTAATTAAATAATGACAATTTTTTTAATTGAACAGACTTTAATACAGTATATCTGTACATATCATTGAAACAGATACGATAACAGGTTATATTATTTTAGTAAATCTGAAACATCTGCTTAATTAGTCACATCGGGCCATACTGTGCATGTACATTTAGATCTTTTTGATATTGAACAGAAGTATTGTGTAAGTGGAGCAGACATTAGAAAAGCCCATACTGCAAATAATAAAACCAACCATGAGTTTCAACTGATCTTCAAAGGAAACGCAGAATTTAAAGATGCTGTCACTAAGAGAGTTTATCATTTGGATGATGACCATGAAAATTCTGATTCATCAGATTCAGAAGCCGAAAGAAGATCAGTCAATTTAAAACCCAAGAAACTAAATGTTGTACGAAAGTATAGAGATCAAACGGCTTCAACAAAGTTTGGTAAGTCTTGAATGTACAAGGTGTCCTTTATCATTTTAAAACAAAATTTGCATGTTTTAACATAAAGAGCAAACTTATAAAGTAACACATGCTTTTTTTCTTTTATACATCTGGGGGAGTGGCGGGGGGTGGTGGCTTAGATGGATATTTGTCTAGCTGGTGTATAAACAAATATCTACATTTCCAATATCTTTGTCAGAGACAATATTACAAATAGTCAATGTACTTTATTTCCTCATCAATGCACTGGTTCATCAATAGGCGCGGTTTAAAAAAAAATACGCAGGGCGGGACAAATAGGAACAAGAAGTGGGGCTTGTAGCACGTGGAGTGGCAGAATCAGTACCATGTAACTTTAAAGACCCAATTTTTTTACCGTACGGTTACCTGAGGAGGGGGAGTGGTCAAAGTAACAGTGGTGTTATTTACCTGGAGACCCCCAATACCCAAGATGTCAAAAATCTGTGTATACGTAGCATTACACAAGAAGTCTGTGTTTGGTAATCAGGGTCAATGTTACGTGTTTTGTGTCTGGTTTTGAGTAAAACTACGTAAAATAATTATTTTAATATGGAATTTATTTGTAAACTAAACGCGTTCATCGAAATCATGGTAATGTTTTGAAGGAAAAAAAAATAATAAGATACAAGTATATCATTTTTAGAAAATTTTTTCCTTACATAAAAGAAAAATTAACCAGTAAAAACTACATATCAATAATATTATCTTTTTTAATCTTCAATAAAAGAAATCACTTGATTAAAAAAAAGTCTGACTATTGAAATAAAAAATTATTGATCCACCTATTCGTCGTGCATGTGAACATGCATTTACCGCGATCGAAATGTCTCTTTTTATGGCCAACAATGTTGTCCAAAATATTCCATATTTTTTATTCTTCGTGTGTTAACAAAATTTTATTGTTAGAAAGATTTCTTTTCGGAATCGATCACTATTAATTATCTTCACATTTTCTATATATATATATATATATATATATATATATATATATATATATATATATATATATATATATATATATATATATATATATATATATATATATATATATATATATATATATATATATATATATATATATATATATATATATATATATATATATATATATATATATATATATATATATATATATATATATATATATATATATATATATATATATATATATATATATATATATATATATATATATATATATATATATATATATATATATATATATATATATATATATATATATATATATATATATATATATATATATATATATATATATATATATATATATATATATATATATATATATATATATATATATATATATATATATATATATATATATATATATATATATATATATATATATATATATATATATATATATATATATATATATATATATATATATATATATATATATATATATATATATATATATATATATATATATATATATATATATATATATATATATATATATATATATATATATATATATATATATATATATATATATATATATATATATATATATATATATATATATATATATATATATATATATATATATATATATATATATATATATATATATATATATATATATATATATATATATATATATATATATATATATATATATATATATATATATATATAATATATATATATATATATATATATATATATATATATATATATATATACATATATATACAGACGCTAGAGGAAATTTGAGCATTAATTCTGACATCAATTTCTGTACAACACCGTGAGGATTGTAGCCATAATACAAAATAAAACATCTTTTAAAAACTATGCTATGCTGTTTAATAGTGCTGAATATTTTTCTTATATCCCATTTCTTAAAAAATAATTTAATTCGTCGGACTCCTAATTACGGCAAATAGAGCCGGTTTCTGTGGACGCGGATACAGATAAACATGGACGATATAGCACTTACAAGTAACCAACAGCAGTGAAGATAGAAAAGAAATATTTTATTATGTCAGTGTTTAAATAATCTACTTTCAATTATTTTTTGAAATAAAATTCAAACATATTGGAGTTTTCTAATCCGCGTGTATACTATGCGGGTACATGAAAGTGTTTGACGCGTGACCAGGTAATTGTTTTCAAAACATGCAAACTCAGATTATCATGAAACACAGGTAGCTGACCCGTCAATCAAATCAGAAGCTATTGTTTTTTTTAATGATTGACAGGCGGTAAACTATTGATCTTGAATCAGGTAGACTTTGGGGGCGTTAACATAAAATTGGGTGTTTAAGGAATAGCTGTCAGATTTATCAATTTCATGACGATAATCAGTAGATTGGCTTGCGTGATAATTTTCTGCATAAATGCCTTTGGTGTTTATGCAAATTATGACACAAGCCAATCCATTGATCACATTATGAAATTATTTAAATAAGACAGTTAATCCTTAAATATTAGAAATGAAAACAGCATAGAAATCCTTGTATCAAAGTTGACAGTCATGATTTTTTACACTCTAAACTGCTGATAATAATTGAACAATATTTGACGGGTGTATCGGGGCACTTTATTTACTTTTAGAGATAATTTATTCTTATTACGAATTTCATACAACAATTTATATAAATTTAAATAACTTGCTTACTTAGGGGGAAAAAACTTGACCAAAGACTGGATTTATCGATCTAGTATTTCTCAGAATTGAAGTTCCAGTCATAAAAAGAAACCTGTAATTGCTAAGATTAGACATAAATGCTTAAATTTACAGAAAACCTTGAATAGCTGAATCAATTTTACCCAGACAAATCCTACTGGGAGAACATTAAAGTCAAGAAAATATTATAATAAATAATTTATTATGATAATTTCTTTATCAGACCTGTCAGATGATAAAATGATAATCTTTTTGAACACTTTGTAGATATCGTGGGAGTCATCACAAAAACAAAGGATGTAGAGACTAAGACTAACTCGAGGAGTAATAAGCAATTTTTTATTAAAGAAATTTCCATCCGTGATCAGAAAGAGGGAGTCAATTTGTGCTTGACATCTGATCTTAATGAGCAAGTAAGAGGCAAAATTGTCATAAATGTATTGTTATTATTTTCATAAATTATTGTTATCATTTATTTGGTCACCTGAACAAACTTAGGTGACCTATTGCTATCAGTTTTTGTCCGTCATCGTCCGTCGTGCGCCTCTTCAAAAATTGTGAATTCCATGGATGGCCCCAGGGTCAGGGGTTCTGGTGTTAGGGTGGGGCTCCATTGATTAATGATTATGCAGTAAAAATGTATTAATTCTTTGAAATCTTCTCTGCTCCTGGATATTAAAGAACAAATTAGATATATAGTTATAATGAGCAAGAATGCCTCTTCCAACATTGTGAATTCTATTGCCCCTGGGTCAGGGGTCCTTGTGTTAGGGTTGGGCTCTATTTATTTAATATAGTGAAAATGCATTATATCTTTGTAAATCTTTGTTTCTCTGCTCGTGGGTATTAATTAAACTAATAAAGTACATGATTACGTTGAATAAGGCTGCCTCTTTCTAAATTAGGATTTTCATGGCCCCGGGGTCAGGGATTCTGGTGTTAGGGTGGGACTCTATTGATTATATATAGTGAAAATGCATAAATTCTTTAAAAATCTGCTCCTCTGCTCCTGTGTATTAAACCAAAGATATACATACATAGTTATGATGAGGAAGGATGCTTCTTCCCAATTTGTGAATTTCATGGCCCCTGGGTGAGGGGGTCTGGTGTTAGGGCTGGCTCCAATGATTACATTGTGAAAATGCATTAATTCTTTAGAAATTCTTTTCATTTGCTCTTGGGTAATATGTCAATGATCTAAGTACATATTTATGATGAAGAAAGGTGCCTCTTCCAAAATGGTTCATTCCAGGGCCCTTGGGTTGGGAGTACTGTGGGGGGGGGGGGGGGGGGTTACATAGTTTGAAAGACTGAAAATTAAAGTAATGCTTTGAAATCTGCTCTTTGGTTTTAATCAACCATTTATGAAGAAATAAAATTTAAAACTAATAATAAAATTTCCTAAATTTTGAAATATGTGGCCCCAATGTCAGTGGTTCTTGTTGGTTGGGTTGCACAACTGGTGGTCATAAAGTGGAAATACATTTTCTCTTTATTACTCTGATCTACATCTGGGTATTAAGTAAGCAAAGTAAGCATGCTAACTGTATATTTATAATGAATAATGGTGCCCCTTCCAAAATGTTGAATTTCATGGCTTTTTTTTTGAAACACGAACCAAATTCAATTGTTTGGAAGTTGTTACATGAAACTCAGGTGACCTATAAGGCCCTTGGGTCTCCTGTTGTTTTTATCTTTGAAAATGGTTTGAAGAAAGTGGTCAATGGAAAATGTTTTAACTATAGGCCTTATCTGATTGAAAATTGATAGAGGGATCATCTTATGTCTTTGAATTTCATCAAGGAATCATCTTGTTACCATGGTCAGTACGTAGTACGTATTTGTGATAACGTAGACGTGCAAAAATTTTAGTAAGGACTCAATTTTGGCATTTATAGCACATTAATGCCCTGTTCACACGGAGAATTTAATTCGCAGTAAATTAATGCGAAGTAAACTAATGCGAACCAAACTAATGCGAATTAAATTGCGTTCACACGACAGCTAATGCGAAGTAAACTAATGCGAATTAAAATTTTACTTTGACAGTCAGGCGTGAGGAAGGCTATTATGACGTCATTTCTAAATCACGTCACCTTATGCAGAAGCAGATGCATTTGACATAATGTCACAGTGTCTGGAGACATATTTTAGTGATTAATACATTTTTTCTTAGATTTTCACTCAAAAATAGTACAAACACTTCAGGTTGACCACCGACATGATGCATATGACTTAATCTTGCCATTACGCATGCATCAGAATTTAATTCGAATTAGCTTCGCTTAGCGTTCACACGGAGCTAATGCGAAGTAATTTAATGCGCAGTAAACTAATACGAAGTAAACTAATTCGCATTAAATACTCCGTGTGAACGCGAAGCGCAGCTAATTCGCAGTAACTTTACGTTTAATTCGAATTAAACTCTCAGTGTGAACAGGGCATAATATCTCAAAGCATCCCAAAATTACTAAATTTTCTTAGTGACAAAATTTAAAACCTGTTTCATTATGGTTTGTACATTTAATTGATAAATAATATGTATGATAAATCACTCATTGGACTGGTGCTAAGAATCATTTATTTTTCTAGTTTGAAGATTTTGACTGGTCAAAAGGAATAGTTGTTTGTGTGAAAGAATGCTCCTGGAAGAAATTACCAGATACAAGTATGTTAAAATTTTAGCATCTTTTTATGTGTTTTCTTGAAGTGTAATTGATATGTTAAAATCCTAGACTATTAACTGCCCCTGTCCCTATAAGTGCCCCCTAGGTCTTAATTGTTCAATAGTCAGGAAATAAGGGCCCCCTGTACAGTGAATATAAACAACAAGAATTGTTTCAAAAGTTCTGCTAAAATTTGAAGAAAGTGAAAATGAAAATCGTCTATTATCCAGTTCCATGGTATTATAGAAAGCGAATCATTTAGCATAATTTGGGTGAATTATTTACACTTACAGTAAATTAAGTTAAACATTATTTTAGTGCTACTTTGAATTTATTATTTTTCTCCAAAAGATTTTTGATGTTAAAATATGACATTAAATATTATAAAGAGAATTAAAAAAAGAAGCCCCCTTTTCACAATTTTCACCAGTGGCGGTTAATTGGGAATATATAATAGTATTTTATGGTAACTGCAGTCACTGGTAAATGACTGCCAAATCATCTTAATTAGGGATGGAATTCTGGTATGTGTGCAGTAACTGCTTGGTTAACTTGGTTAGTCAAATGGTTTGAAGAGTCAAAGTAACCAGTCAGTTTTTGGCGCACCTGAGCTTAACTCTTTTCCCCTTAGACCTTTCCCTCCTTTACTCCTTAACAGGGATGGGGTCGATTACTTTCAAAAGTAATCGATTAAATTACAATTACTTTGGATTTTAAAAGTAATTGATTACAAGCTGATTACAGACATTTTTTAAAGTAATCAATTACATCTGATTACTTTTCCTTCATGTAATCATGATTACTTATGATTACTTTAGATTACATTAAGTTTTATTTATTTTTGTTTAATATTCAAGGACAACGGCATGTTTTTATTCATCTTTCTTTATAAATCAAACTTGACATAATTATAGGTAGTGGAAAATGGATTTGCTAAGGAACTGTTACACAAGTAATTGACCTTCTTGACAAGTGGTGGACTTTTCATTTAAACTGCCAATTATTAGAGATGTTTTTACTAAAATTAACACATTGACTGGACAAGCATGGATAGTTCAATAATTACTATTACCCAAGCTGACCCAGCTTTAGTTTATCTGTGTCTTATGACTAATTAATTCACATTATCTTTTTATGTACACAAAAAAGTGAATTTTAGAATACAGTGTATGTCTCAATAGAGGATTATTTGCTATATATAAAAATACAAGTTTTTTCAGAGATATACAGTGAAAACAAATTGTTGCATTAGACACATGTTCATTAATTGAAACAAAAATAAATCAAACTTTAAAATGAGTGGATTTCTATAAGTATATGCATATATCTTGACAAAAATAGCGAATTGCTAAGCTGCTGAAGTATTTTGAAATGACTACTGAATATGGCAAGGAACTGATAGAATTTACTCATTACCAGGACAATGGACATGATTATAAGCATTTCTCGAGGCATTAGAAGATACTTAAAGACGATTTCTATAATTTTTTTTCCGAATTTATTTTTTTTCTTTTTTACATATTTCCTTCCTTAGAGTATGCTTTATGCAAATATAAAAAGAAAAGGTATGGTTATCAGATTAGTTTTTTTTGTTGTGAAGAATTTTTAAAACTGACCGTTAATCAATTATTGAGTGAAATTCTGACCATTTTTCAATTACACACTATCTTAAAAATATACTACTTTTTATATATTTATCAGAGTTCTAACTTTTTCATTTTATCATACAAGTCAGTATACACTACAAACAAGATGTTGAATTCAGATATTGATTGAATATAAGAAAAAACACAAACAGAATATCATTTTTCAAATTATCATTTATCTAACCAAATGTACATTGTTTTCGCATAATTTATACAATTTACGCATTAAAAAGTCAATAAAAAAGTTTGACGAATTTATTTTTTTTTAAATTCATACATATTGTACATTTAAGTATACTGATAATAATGATATAAAGAAAAATGGGGGTCATCATATTCATTTAGTAAATAAAACAACATTTGCTAGCACGATGTTAGACGTTTTTCAATGTCAGAGGTTGTAAAATATGCATCAACATAAGAAAAACATACATTTTTTCTTAGATTTTGATTTCAATTACAAAAAAACCCCAATGCAACATATTACATCTGAAATTCCTCTTTAAGGGGTCCTGACCCTCTCCTCTAAATTTCACTATGGAAATTTTAAATTTCTAATATTGATTTTCATGAACACAACAATGACTTTAAAACCAAATACAAAACCTTATACAACGTGGTATAATGCAGGTTACATACAGGGTTTTGTTTTTCTTATTTACAAATTTACATTAGATCTATGATGAATTTGTGAAAAATTTAAAAAAGAAGTTATCCTTCTTAGCAGAGGGATAATGTCCCTTAAATGCTGAAATTAAAAAACTACAGAAATATTATTTACTTTTCTAATTGGTATGGCCATATATACATTCAAATGTTTACAGCTATACAGAGCTTGTAAAACTAAGATGCAAAAAAACTATACATGTACAAATACAGCCAATTAAACGTCTAATGTCTATTGTTACATTCAGCTAAAATTTGTTTTGCCTTACTGTTTGTCTTCAAAATACTTATTTACTTTTTCAAGTAAACATTTTTTTGATGTTACTCGAGGTTTCCCATCGAATTTTTCAGACAAGAGTGTTTTTAAACCACCTCTGGTGTGAGCAAGTTTTAGATGACCTAAGTTTAATCCACTTTCAGCAATCTTTTTACACATTTGCTTTGAAAGTATCTTATCATTGCATAAAACTAACAAGGTGTTTAAGTTTTTATCTACAATTTTGTCAAAAAGGTACTTCTCAACCAAGGTATGCATACTTGAACTGTGGCGTACAAGAACTTCAGTGCACGGTTTTACATGTTGAACAAGTTTTTGAAGAACAAGAACATCATCCTCGGCATTGTGAGCTGCATAGTTTTCATTTAAAAAATATGTAACAAGAAACTCTTGTGAGTATTTTTCCAGACCAGGATAAACTTCTCTAAACAGAAGTAGTGTGTCTACTACACCTAATACAACTGGTTCTAAAGCATGAAGAAAATGACAAATTTCAAAATTTCGTAAGACCCTAGGTAAATCAAACCTCAAGAAATTATGTCCTACAAAAATACAAGGCTTTTGATCATCTAACCATGCCAGAAATGATGCCAATGCAAGTTGCAATGAAACGGATGTTACAGGAGTACCATTCAAATGCAAAACATTTCCATGAACAGTCAGTCCAGTGACTTGAGAAGCTGCTGTTGAAATTCGTTGACTAGGTAAGATGTATTTCGAAAACTTGCCATTTTCTGAAACAGCCGCAATCTGAATGATATCACACGTTTTATTAAGAGATGTTGTTTCGATGTCACAATACACAAAGGTATATTTCTTTGGTAATATACATGGAGTGACAGTTGGTACAATGCTTGGAGCAGGTATTTCTTTGACAAACTCGCCGTCAGATTGTGTCAAATCAACAGATGACTGATAAGTTACTCCTTCCCGAATTTGAGAAGCGGAATTCATGGTACTGTTTTTTAATTTTCTTTCAAGTTTTCTTTTTTTGAATTCTCTTGTATTTTCATACGCGAGTCTGCGTTTGCGCGTTTTGTCTTTTTTTTCTGCAAGTTTTTGAAAAACTCGTCCAGGCGAAACACCCACCAGTTCGTTAACTTTGTTGACGTATGTTGAGCCCATGTTTTTCTCTGCTACTGCACAACTAACTCTATTTTGCAAACTAGATGATGAAGAATAGTGCAGTCTTTTGGGGGCTTTTGCAGCAATTGAATTATTGAATGATTCAACATCTCTAGTAGATGCAGCAGGGGAAATCTTGTGAGCATTATTGATAAATGTTTCAAATATAATGTTCAGGTCATTTTTTAATTCATCACCCTGTAGATCTTTTCCAGATGGAAGGGACTTGTGGCGGAACTCTTCAGGATTAGTTTTATAAGTACACCATTTTGAGTCACACTGGTCATGCTCTCCAAAAGCATGTGGCACTATTTGCTTTAGGTTTTTCTTTAATGCTTCTGTATCATTTTTATTTTGTACAATAGCGTAAGAGAAGCATTTTTGAAAATACTTGACACAATTGTTGTTGAAATTCTTGTGTTTCTTTTGTAGTTGGTATAAACTGTTACCAAGATGCTTTTTAGTGTGACTAATGTCACTCCATTTGATCACCGGATGTGGAATTTCTTCATTGATTCGTGCCATTGTTGTGCAGTCGTCATCCATAACTAACACTGATACTTCAACATTTTCTTTTTCAATTTTGTTCACTAATTCAACTGCAACGTTACTCTCCATTGCTTTTGACGAGCCCTCCCAATTTTTACAGCACTTATGTTCTGGAGGAGTTTTCCCCATATTTGTATGAAAGGAACATTTGCGACAATCCTTTGATCGAACACCAAAGCCACATATTTTCCCGGACTTGTTGCCGATTAATGTTCCCACTCCAGATTTACTGTTATAGGCCCTTCCTGACCCACGCTTCTGCCATCCCATGTCGTACTTAAACTCCCCAGAGCTGCGAGCCTGCTGACCGTCATTGGATTCATTTACACTGGAAACAAGAAAACTCATTTTAAGACTCGTAAGAAATAATGTATACCGGTATATATTTTATAGCAAAAGTATAAGAGTGAGTCATCAATTATTCATAACAGCACTTCCTTTTTTTTTATAAATTGTGCTTATCCTAGCTCACTTTAGCATGTAATCAAATCTGGCCTAAGGGTTATATATAAACCAGCCCCAATTTGGACCTATCAGTGTGAAGTTGATCTTTGACCTACAGAACTTGAAACAGTATGGAAACCTGTCATTTCAGTGTGTTACAGAGGATGGAGATGATGGACACTTTGGCATAACATGATCTTTTGGGTATATAAAAACCATATAGCATGTACCTTCTTGCTGATACATTGCCCTGTATTTCCTCCAATAAGGCCTCACTGCATGACTGCTGGGCAACAGAT